TGTTTATTCACTCAATTTTATACTTAATCAGTATATATATATTCATTTTGCTATCATATTTATCTTTATTTAAATGCGTTTATGAGGTGTGTCCCAAAAAAGTCGTAGACAATGTCTGTAACTTTTCAACAATTAACCAATACTAACTATATTTTGTATGACAATCATTTATCAAATATTCATTAAAATAGTGATTTTTTTAATAGAAGTTTTTTCATAGTAATAATATTATGACGATTTATAAAAAGGTCGAGCTAAAAAATCCGGAATAATTTACGTATGTTTCCATTGAATTTGCAATTGTTTTTCTGATAATATTTAATAGATTAAATTCAAATATATCAATTAAATCAGAGGACAAACCTGCATAATAATAAAATTTTCATGTAAATGGCATCAGAGACAGAGGAGTGGTAATGCAATTTTTATAGGATAATCTGAACCGAGTCAGCTGCAAATAACGCCGTCAAACGCGTCTACAGCGCATAAGGATGTACTCAAATATCGGTTTGATTGAGGTATCTCTCCTTCAGAGACGGGAAAATATAGAAGTAACATAGCACACTATAGTGTTAGTATTGAAGTTTTGTTTTTAAATGGCATACGAGATTCTGTACAGTTTTATCTCAGCACCGTAAAATAGGAAAGGCGTAAGAAGTAGAGTAATGATTGTTAAATTCAGAATTTGAGGAACGTTTTGGATCACAGTGGATGTTTAACTCTTTTTAAGCCTCTTATTTTTAGCCTCTTAAGCAGGCTTTACAAGGACTTAAATTTGAAATTGATCAAGAAAATAGAAAGAAAGTGATAAATTTTATTGAGTCCCTGTGTCCATCTTGAGTGGATTGCCATTAAATTTGAAAAATCAGTGAGTCGCCATGAGAAACTATTGCGTACAAAATTCATGTATTTTGAAAGAGAATGATCATGATCCTAGAAGAGATAGACGTAAATTACGTTTGCTTTCGTGCGCCGATCAACAAAATTACGCTTTCTTTATCATATTTTTTTAATGAAACTTGAAATTCATGATCATTAAACGTTTCCTTTCACTATGACAATAAAAGAAATTTATGTTAGCAAATAGAATTATATTTGTCGGTATTGTGACCTCAACTGCATAAAAGGACTGCGTTGAAAATACTGTAAAATGCAAGTTATATTCAAGAAAATTTATTGTTTGATAAAATACATAGTACAGAAATATAAAAAATATGGCATAGATATAAGCAAAATTAATTCATCGAAGACGAACATAACAGTGATCATGAATTTGAGAATATACTATTCATGAATATTCGGAAATATTACTTTGCAATTAGTCCACAATCAAGAAAAGTCTCAATTCGTTATATTCAATAAATTTGAAGACATTTTCAACATTTAAAAAAAATGATAGGTAATTAAGTAGACAGGCAGTAGATTTTCTGCATAACTCACATAGGGATACTCCAAAGAAGGGAGTGATAAAAAGAAGGATAAATATATATAATGTGAAAAATACTGCAGAATCTGGAGTAACTAGTTCCTGCATTAACATGCTTTATATCATTAATGTAATTTTATATGATACAACTTCATCCCAAAAAATTTTCTGGAATCTAAAAGTTGTTTTGCAAAGTCTTATAAAGCTGTATATTGTTTGCCTTATGTGGTGAAAGCAACGTGATACTAATCTCATGGGCACATTTTGTCAATTTTTCTTTTTTCATTGGAATTAAAATTCAAAGGAAAATCTGCAATACAATTTTTACAGTGATGCTCAAGAAAGGATTAATATAAAATCTATCTAAGGAAGTCGGAATCATGATCTATGACACTGTGCAGAAACTTTGTAATGCAACTTAAAAGTACATTTTCTTATGTCATTCATGTTTAAAAGGGGTTTTCTTTGTCTTAGACGTGAATGGGATTGTTTCCTTTTCATGGTTACTTTCCCCTATTACTTTTTCTTTGGTTCCCCATACTTTCGAATACACATAAATCAAGAGGAAATTATTATCTAAAATACTGGTATGATAACTGCTAGAAGGCACACTCCTGTAATGGCAGATAAAGAACCCCCATTGCTGAATGACCCTGAATGCCGAGTAAAGGTCTAAATTTGAAGCCCTTCACCGGTATATGATGACGTCTCCATATGAGTGAAAAATTCTCGAACGGGACGTAAAACAACATACAATCAATCAATCCATTACCTGTTTCATTTTCCATAACTATGGAGGACTGAGAGATCTGGAGTATAATTTAATGTTAAAACTAGGCATTGTAAAAAATAAATCATGCCTCTTGGAGAAATTAGTACATGAAACATCGCAAAACGATGAATATCCAGAATAGTGACTTATATGATAAGTTTGTTATCTAGTTACATGAACTAGTGCATGTATTTAGATAGAATTGGTTCGTCACAAATACGATCGATAATGATCAATTTTCACTTATTATATTAAACACGCCACAAATCAACTAGAAACACACAAAAACAATGTAATAATGCCATACACAACTACCCCTCCCCCCTCTCTCTCTCTGGTTGCTGTGCAACATAAGCAGAATTACAAATAGGCCATTAGTCACTTAGATATAATATACAAAGATAAAAGCAGATATGTTTCCGATTTTCATTAAAATTTGATTAAGAGGCGCAGTCCTCAATAAATATGCAACAGAAAATTACGAATAAATAAAGGATTATTTTCTGAATAGAAAGAGGTTTAAATACCAGAGGAGTCCCTGCTCTGAAATGCATCAATCTGAGCACGAATGATAAATGTGGTGATAATATGGAAAATATAATCTGCCGAATGGCTTATCAAGAATTTAAAAACTTTTATTGATCATACTTTCTTGGAAAGAAAATGATTGGATCCATTTGAATATTCGATATCACATTGGCTTTGCTTTTGAAATTCACTTTAGATGATTTCTTATTTTCAGACAATATCTCGTGTTTGTGTTTTATTTTCCGTGTTCTTTTAATTATCAAGTAGGATATCCTTTAATGATCGTCGATATTCATTTTTGCTCTTGATTTGCAAGCAGTCGTAACAGTCATAACAGTAGTCAAGTAAATTAGAATTTTATATAGATCTATAATTAACTAAATACTGGATAGTATATTGAACTTCAAAAGTTTTATTTCAACTTAAGGACATACGCAACGTACCTTACCTACTGCTTATAATGAATTGACGCTAACAGCGAAGTGATTTTCATTCCCCTTGACTTTAACATATATTGTGAACTCATTGGATATAACCAATTTCGTTTATAACGAAGCTAAATCGTCCATCCCTAGCCCTTCTTTATAATCGTGTTAAACTGTTTATGTTATAGTGTACAACACATAGTAGATTTCATCATAAAGGTACTAAATGTTTAACATTTAGAATTACATTTAAGGACATACGCAACGTACCTTACCTACCTACTGATAATTTTTCAAGATATTCTTAATTTAAGCTTATAGTGCCATCAGATGTTCGTAGACAAAAAATCAACATGCATTACAAGGGGTTTTGAAAAGATATCAATTGATGAAAATTCTTGTGTAATTCAAAGAAAAATATACAAAAATTACTTAACATATATTCAAGACGTTTTGTTTATCCAAACTTGTTTTCGAAGAAGTGTACAATGGCATACATAGACATTAAAATGTAGCATACAGTTCCTTTAAGTATTGGAACTCTTCAACTCCAGGGAAAAAGACAATAAAGTTCAAACTACGTTGCGTAAGTCCTTAACGGTAATGAGGCCTCAACTTCATAGAACTATGTTTGAGACATTGTAAAATGCAAGTTACATGCAAGAAAATTTATTGCTTGAAAAAAATACATAGTGCAAAAATATTAAAAATATGTTGTCATATAACATGTATATAAGCAGTATTAATTCGTCGGAGACAAACTTTACAATGATAATGAGTCTGAGAATATACTTTTGATGATTATAGAGATATGTTAATTCGCAATTAGTCCAAAATCAAGAAAAGTCTGAGAATACAGGTGACTCTCAATGGTTCCAACTCCGATCTCTCGAAGTGAACCTCCGGTCCCGTTTTTTTTCTCTATATAACTAGGAAAATTTACTCCTGATCTCTCGAACTTCCGATCTCTCGAAGTTCTCTATTTCTCGTCGCCCGCGTGGCGCAGTGGCTAGAGCGCCTGCTCTAGAATCGAGAAGTAAGGAGTTGATCCTAACATCGCGGGTTCGAATCCCACTGTGGGACGTGGAGACCGGTCCTTCGGATGAGACTGTATTAACCGAGGTCCCGTGTCGCAGTGGGTGCTGGCACGATAAAGATCCCTCACTGCTCAATGGCCGTAGGTGCCCAGTATAGGACAAAATTTGCAGCTTTCCACCGGCAAGTGGTGGCGTCTCCATATGAGTGAAAAATTCTCGAGAGGGACGTTGAACAAAATACAATCAATCAATCAATCTCTATTTCTCGAACTAAGACCTCGGTCCCGTTACACACATTTCACTGCATTATATTTAATAAACTCATTTTTTAAATGATAGGTAGGCAAGTAGGCATGTAGTAGATTTTCTAATTAACTCACACAGGGACACTCCAAAGATGTGGGTGACAAGAAGAAGGATAATTATGATGTGGAGAATGCTGCAGAATCTAGAGTATAGTTCCTACATTAACATGATTCATTTCATTCATATAACCTTACATGATACAACTTCACCCCTAAAAATTGCTGGAATCAAAAAAATTGCAAAGTCTTATAAAGCTGTATAATGTTTGTAAATTAGTGTAAGTCTTGCGTGGTGAAAGCAACAACGTGATAGCAATGTCTTGGGCACATTCTGTCAATTTTCTTTTTCCGTTGGAATTGAAATTCAAAGGAAAAACTTGCACTACAATTTGTACAGTGATGCTTAAGATTCAATTGATTATATCCAAAATTTATCTAATAAAGTCGGAATCATGATCTTTGACACTGTCCAGAAACTGTGCTACAAATAAAAGGTTTTTTTTTTCTTCATTCAGGCTTGAAAGGGGCTATTTTTGTCTTAGAAGTAAATGGGGTGCTTTCCTTTTTACGGTTACTTTCCCCCATTACTTTGTCTTTGGTTCCCCATACTTTCGAATACGCATAAAACAAGAGGAAATTATTTACAAATATTGGAATGATAATTGCAAGAAGGCACACTCCTGTAATGGCACATATCGCCCCTATGGACTTCGACAGAGCCTCCGTGGGATATATATCACCGTATCCAACCGTTGTCATGGTAACTATTGCCCACCAGAAGGAGTCTGGGATGCTCGTAAAAACTTTGTCACCCGAAAAGAAAACAAAAGCAGAGAATAAAAGTGTGGCAACCATAAGAAACATGGACATAAGAAGAACCTCGCAGAAGCTTGCTTTCATTGAATATAGAAGAACTCGAAATCCAATAAAGTTTTTAACTAAACGAAAAAGTCGGAATACCCGAATAATTTGAAAACAATGAACAATATCAAAGATGGACGCCGTATATTTTTCTTTTGGATTGACTGTTTCGACTATATACTTTGAGTACATCACAAGCAAAGATAAAATGTCAATCAGATTCAACAATGAAACGAAAAACCTCTTTTTGGTGGGACAGAAGATGACACGAAGGGCGAATTCGATAGTAAAGAAGATGGTTGTAATGAAATCAAGGTAAGTCAGAAGGTCTATCTGTGCCATTGGTTCGGTTGGTAATGGTGGAACTGTGGATCCAGAATGAACATGGGACGAATCAAAATGTCCTGCATACCGGTGAAAATCGTCATCGAAGTATTCGCGCCATTCAGATTCGCGCAAGCTTCGCCTGAACGTTGGATGGGTTCCACAGATTAAAGCAGCTATGGATATGATGACAAAAAAAGCGCTTGTGTAAAAATAGCCCTACAAGAGAGAAAAGTATTTTTTAATTATAATTATGCAGTCCTTTTTCCTTTTTTACTTTGACAGATATAAATTCCTAAAAGATATATTTCACATTGTAAAACCTTATATGCATTTGAAAAAAAAAGAGATTATAAATGAAAGCATGCAGATATAAAGACATGTTAGTTAGGCCAAAGTTTTTTTTTTCTTTTGGTTTACGATTCCGCCGACCCTTACTTTCACCAATCATGAAAATAAAAATAATGTCTTTTTCCGACATATTTTTCCGGATTTTTCTCAGCTGAGCTGGTGGGTTTTAAATTTTAGAATGCATCTTAGTCAAATAAGCGTTTATAATTTATATAGAATTTTACAAACATTTAGGTGACCGTTGTCGCATAATATTTGGTCCGCCTCGTTTAAAGGTCCGGGGGGACCTAATACGATAACATATAAGGTCCGGCCTGCCTCTATAATAAAAGGTCCGCCCTCGTTTTAATATACAGATTTTTCTCATTTATTGGTTCGAAATTAATTTGCTTAATTAATCTTTTAATTAAGTTTAAATTATTTAAGGTATAGTTATTATAATTATGTCCCTCCCAACAAAATGGAGTTCCAGGGACGTACATGTACATTGTATATATACTAACAGGATCAAGTCTTGCGATATCTCGCTTGTTGCTAATTTCGTTAGTTTTGATTAATTATATTTCTAATGCTATCAAATATTTCAGTACAAAACCTCAAATTATCTATCAAACAATTATTCAAAATTTGATGTTAGCACTGATTAACTGTTAGCTCCTTATCTTAGTACATAATGTACATGTACATACCTCCCAGGTAGTGCACAAAACAAAAAATATAAAAATGCAAAAGATCTGTTGATCGAGTTACCTTATGGGAAAATCATGTACGACTTGTGTCTTTTATAGTTTAAGTGATATCAATATTATCATTGCAAAATAAAAAAAAATACATATATATAATAAGTTTACCTTCGCTGGCACATTGTACAGTGTACAGTGTTCTTAAGTCCAACAATGATCATTTCATTACATTCTCTTTCCTAACAACGTTCGACTTCTTCCCAAAACGAATTTTCATATCTTTCGAAAGATATTTCGTTATATTATTAATAATAATTATGCATAATTCTTACGATTCATATTGTAGCTAACTATAAAATAGTTGGAGGGTCACTGTGACAGGGACTTGTGTTACGGTGTACTAGCCTATACCCCGTTGTTGTTAAAACAACATGTCTGTGCATTGAGGGTAGGCCTATTGTCTCACTTGACGAAACTTGAAGTCGCATATCCCCCGTGTTTTTATAACCACCGTTTCTTATCCAGTTAAAGACTAACGATTATATCATTCTCCTTGATATTACCCCGGGGTTAACACTGGTTAAGGAAGATGTGCATTAATTGGCAAAATCAAACCGAAGTCAATCGAGTTGAACATTTTAAGCAATAAAACACCCCCCCCCCCCCAAGAAAAGATTTTAATTGGTCTTGTCGTGTTTTTGGTGTTTGGGGTATAGCAAAATTATGTTGATACATGTCAAATAGTTTTAAAAATACCGGTGTTGTAGACTTTCCTCCCGCATTAACATTTTTTTTCCCGGAAAAACGAGCTTGGGTTTAAAGACCCCTCCCCCTTTTGGTAAATGAGCCTAGCATAGGATTTTATTTCCGGAATTTTTTTTAATATTGTTCATTTCATTTCCTATATTTTGTAGTTTTCATTTCTGACATTTTAAAGTTTTCATCTCTGACATATATCATAAAGTACTTTTCCCGCAATGAAAACAGAATTGAAATTTCCCATATAAAAAAAATTAAAGAATAAATCAAGAATAATTAATTGATTTCCACATACATGTAATAAGTTCTGCTTATATTTAAAAGAATCTTATGATGATTTTGTCCTCGGACACATGTAATTGTTTTTAATTTTTGTTCATCTTTTCAAATCAAGATATTCAGATTGAATTAGAGATCAGAAAGGTTACTATAGTTGAGGGGATTCTGTTTTTCGGTGCTTTCAAACACATATAATTCAGTGGGCATAAAAATTTGGTGATCAAAAATTGCATGTTTTATTATTGAAATTATTTATTGCATTTTATTACTAGACTTTGTATTTTTACTAGACTTAGTGTTGCATGTATTGTAATGTTTTTAATCGGATCGATATTTTCCGGAAAAATGGGATTTGACATAAATGTTATATTAAATATTTATATCCTGTTAAAATTCTATTTCCGCCTGCTTGGTTAACATTAAATTGTCAGAAAGGGGCCTTAAAAATTCCGGAAACGTAAAAAAAAATGAATGTCGGAAATGAAAATTAAAAAAAATGTGAAAAATGAAAACAAAAAATGTCGGAAATGCAATGCAAAATTCCGGAAATGACATGCAGCCAGCGAGCTTGGAAGAAACAACCCCGGCTTAATTATCCACCATAGGAAATACGCTTCAGTACAGAATTTTCTCCTTTTCCACCTTCTTACTAGGGAGAATCTTATCCACCCATACTATTTACGGGGGGGGGGGGGGTGTTAACAGAGAAACTTGACAACTTGAAAGGAAAGTGTCTCTTGAAATCGTGACTGATATAAAAATTCATAAAACACCACCAAGTCGTGTTCTTTTATTAATATTTTTTTATATTTATTTTGAGTTTGGTTTAAATTAGATTTGCTACGACTTTTAGCGGCTTTTTATTTATGTGTGTGTGATGGGGGGGGGGGGGGTAATAGTTCTCTTGTTGCACCTCATCAACATTACTAATTAAATAATAATAATATATCCTTGGTCCGTTCAGACAGATGTTTCTGGTTGTATATAGATATACAATACAGTAGACACATCTCCTGCAAACGTGGATAATTAATTGTCATTAAAGTTTTGTCTTTTGGTCAGCATAAATGCAAAAAAGTACACTACTACACGTAGTATGTGCAATTCTTATGCACAATTAGGCGATTCCAAGACATTTCTAAGTTTATTTAGCGTCCATCCTAAAATTACATACCTAATTATCTTTCTACCCTGGGAAAACACACGACCAACAAAGAAAAAAAAACAATAGGAACTTGCAGCATTTCCATAATTTTTGCTTTGTAACAGTGAGATACATATATCTGGGAAAAAAGAAAAACAGAGGGCGGACCTTTTATTATACTGCGTTTTAAGTTTTAAGGTCCGCCCTGCCATTTTTCCGAGTTTTTACGCTACGAAAAATTTTAGTAAACCCTGTCCAAAACATTTGCCTTGTAATAGTAAGATATCTGAAATATAGAGGGCGGACCTTTTGTTATACTGCGTTTTAAGGTCCGCCCTGCCTCTTTCTCTAGTTTTTATGCTACAAAAATAAACCCTGTCCAAAACATTTGCCTTGTAATAGTAAGATATCTGAAAAACGGAGGGCGGACCTTTTATTATACTGCGTTTTAAGGTCCGCCCTGCCTCTTTCTCTAGTTTTCATGCTACGAAAATAAACTTTCGCCCTGTAATAGTAAGATATCTGAAATACAGAGGGCGGACCTTTTATTATACTGCGTTTTAAGGTCCGCCCTGCCTCTTTCGCTAATTTTTATGCTACGAAAATAAACCTTTTCCAAAATTTTTGCTTTCTGATAGCACGATATCTGAAATATAAAGGGCGGACCTTTTATTATACTGCGTTTTAAGGTCCGCCTTGCCTCTTTCGCTAATTTTTATGCTACGAAAATAAACCCTGTTCAAAATTTTCGCCTTGAAATAGTAAGATATCTGAAAAACGGAGGGCGGACCTTTTATTATACTGCGTTTTAAGGTCCGCCCTGCCCCTTTCTCTAATTTTTATACTACAATAATAAACCCTGTTCAAAATTTTCGCCTTGTAAAAGTAAGATATTTGAAAAACGGAGAGCGGACCTTTTATTATACTGCGTTTTAAGGTCCGCCCTGCCTCTTTCTCTAGTATTTATGCTACGAAAATTAACTTTCGCCTTGTAATATTAAGATATCTGAAAAACTGAGGGCGGACCTTTTATTATACTGCGTTTTAAGGTCCGCCCTGCCTCTTTCTCTAGTTTTTATGTTACGGAAATAAGCCCTGTCCAAAATCTTTTGCTTTCTAATAGTACTATATCTGAAACAGAAAGGGCGGACCTTTTATTATACTGCGTTTTAAGGTCTGCCCTGCCTCTTTCTCTAGTTTTTATGCTATACGAAAATAAACCCTGTTCAAAATTTTCGACTTGTAATAGTAAGATATCTGAAAAACGGAGGGCGGACCTTTTATTATACTGCGTTTTAAGGTCCGCCCTGCCTCTTTCTCCAGTATTTATGCTACGAAAATAAACCCTGTTCAAAATTTTCGCCTTGTAATATTAAGATATCTGAAATACAGAGGGCGTACCTTTCTATTATACTGCGTTTTAAGGTCCGCCTTGCCTCTTTCTCTAATTTTTATGCTACGAAAATAAACCCTGTTCAAAATTTTCGCCTTGTAATATTTAGATATCTGAAATACAGAGGGCGGACCTTTTATTATATTGCGTTTTAAGGTCCGCCCTGCCTCTTTCTCTATTTTTTATGCTACAGAAAAGAACCCTGTCAATAATTTTCGCTTTGTAATAGATAGATCAAAACGGGGGATTAAGGTTTTACATAGGAATATTTAGGAAAAAGTCTTCAAAAATCTTCATCTTAAGAACAGCAATGTCATGATTAGTCATATTAACATGATAGCATCATCAGGTAGTGTAGATGTACGTTTGTTTAAATCATGACCCCCAGGGTAGGGTGGGGTCACAATGGGGGATCAAAGTTTTACATAGGATATATATACACATGTATCGAAAAATCTTCAAAAATCTTCTTCACAAGAACAGCAAAGCCATCTTTCGTCAGACTGATATTGAAACATCTTCAGGTATTGTAGATTCAAAGAGCTAAGTCCACGAAGCATCAAAAACGGCCTCTTCTCAAAAATTGATGTTATGATTATCATAGATAATG